AGAGTGGGATAGAAAGTAAAAGATTTTCTTCTTCCCTGAAAGTTAGCATAACTAAACTATTTTGAGATCACCACTCAGAGGATTTTCTTTTTTTTACAATGATGATGATGGCAAAGCCTAATAAATCCAATCAAGATTCAGGACTTCATTGCTGTTATGCACTGTACAAACAATTAAAACCAGACCCTGCCTGATTCTGGGAGTCATACCAGATGAAACAGGGGCCTATGGGAGAATCAGAGGAAAGTGAGGATTGGGTAACAATAAAACTAACAGTTTAGCTTAAAAGCTGAAGCCTCAGTTGAATGGTTTCTGCAGAGGAAAACAAGTCAAACCTATAGGGTTTTAGTAAATATGTTATTGGGTATCCACCTGACAACTGTACAAAATTCCTTTGTGGGGCCTGACATCCTTTTTGTCTAGGATCCTACCATGGAATATGTTGAATGGACTTTGATCCCTTCTAGGACCAGGTTATCTTCACTGGTGTCAGAGATTTAAAGTTTCTGTGTCTAGGTATTTAAAGTGAAAAAAAAGTATGTCTCCAATACAGCATGCATACACATGCTCTTACAAATGGTGAGGCTTCAGGAAAATCAAATAAAGGACTTCTTGTGGCACATGGAAAGAAGAGATTACATTTTCCACCAAATTATTCTGGAGGATAAAGTATGATCTTGGTTTCTGGGAAGATGCAGCATGGCTCTAGTTTTTAAGTCAAAAAATATGGGACACTTTTGTTGCAAACCCAAGAGATGTGTAAGTTGCTCTTGTGGAAAGGAAGCACAGAATTGGATATCCATAGCTTGAACAGACAGCTTCTGTTTCTAGCACTGCTGGCAGATCCCAGGCAAGACAGATAAATCTGATTGTACAGATAGGCAAGTTATGCTAAGGAACTTCAGTATCACTGAATGAAACCACTGATGACTTCAATAAACTTCTGTTTATAGAACTACAATGAAATGTGACAAATCTTGGTGAGAGCTGTTAAGCCAAATATAGATCATTTTGTAAGAACTCTAGATGAGGTAGATATGTAGTTTCTTGGGATTGATGTTTCCATTTTAGTACCAGCAGGAAACTTCTGTCTAAACAGTGATGTAGATACAGGGCCAGGGAAAAGATATGCATCTGCTACTTAAGGGGAATAACCTGTCTTGTTCAGAGCTTGCTACTTACTGGCCAACTTGTCAGACTTAAACAGTTTGGACTAAGTTGCAGTAGCCAGCCCTGGAAGAAGGGATCTTGCTTGTGATTGCTCTACTTGGTCTATGTACCATGATTTTGCTGACTTATTTAGCATGAACATAATGACTACTGCTTTCTGTTTTTTCAGCTTTTCATATTACTCAGTGTGGAACACAGCTAGGAGAATCTAAACTGGCTAACTCCCAACATGTCCATACACAGTTGGAGGTCCAATCATAGAACCTCCATGTGGATACGTTACTGTTATTATCATTGTAACAGGCCAGTCTGTCCCTTTAAGAGGGAACAGTCAGCCCTGTTGAGGCACCTCAACTGTGGGGCATTTGGATAATGATGAAGTATCCCACTGGGAGCTTAAAACCCTAGAGAAAAGAGGTAGGCAGCAAACTGTGAGAGGACAATTTGCAAGGAGGAAAGCAGCAGGCAGGCTTTAAGTTCAACTGCTTGCTGCACAGAGGGTCCAGGCTGGAACAAAAGGGGGTATCTTCCCCGAGTCTGGGACAGGACAGCAGGATTTTGTTTTGCTTATTTTGTTTGTTTAAAAGACTGTATCATTTGGGAATGCTGGCTGAGGAACTCTTCAGAAGTCAGCAGGCTTGGCAACCTGCTTACAACCATCATCATCACCATTTTGTCCCTCCTGAGCTTTGGCTCATTCACCTAATGGCTTTATACCTGAGAAGGCCCCCAGATCTGTATCTGGTAACTATTTTGAATCAGTTTGCCTGGTGCCGAAGATGGAATTCTGTGCCTTGATTTATCTTTTGAGTGGTGTTCCCTTCTTCCCCTTTCAGAAGTTGATGCTTATATATAGAGGATAAACTGGGCCTCAAGAACTGTGGATGGAATCATACTTTAACCAGGGAATAAACAGAGGAAATCAACTAATGGCTGTGGTCTCTACTCAATGTATGAAGCATATATAATTCTCATTAGTTAGAACAGCTTCCTTTACTCTCTGAATGTGCTTGGAGAAAGAGCAATGAATGGAAGACCATTCTGGCATGTGTCCTCCAACAGAGAGTAGACTGTTGTTAATAAACCTTGAAATACTGCATAGAGGTCAGGTCTTAAATCCCAATGACTTCTGCCAAAATGCTAGTACCCTGTAAGAGACACTAGATTAACTGAAAGCTGAGAAATGATATACAGTAACTAGACATAAAACCAGAAAAGTCTACACTATCTTATTTTAAATTATATACAAAGCTAAGGGAAAATAAATATCCCACAGTGTACAGAAAAAGTTAACACTTCTTCGGGGATTTTGTTTTGCTGCCTTAAGAGCTGATGGACTGTTGGAGCTGCTTTACTTTTTGTACTCTTAGCAGGAAGCAAGGACACCAACTGTGCAGGTATAGCTTTGCTGAACAGTCCTATCTCCTCCCCCCACCCCCCACCCCCCGGTAAAGCAGTTTCCTGTGCATGTGACACATCCAGCAGCATTAGACCCTAGGAGGACTGTTGCTCAAAAAAGTTTCTGTTCCACAGTGAAAAAGCCTTTGCATTTTTGTTAATGCATGCAGGTTGCCAGGGAGTGGCCACCTACCATCGTAGCAACTAGTTTCAAGAACCATGCTAAATTTCCTATTTGCTGACTGCTTTTTCAATCTGCTTGCTTAATTGGTGTCCCATTTATGCTGATAGTCTTCACTGGAGGCAGCATGAAATTCTCCTCTGCTTGTATTCATTTAGTATTTAGAATGGGGCATACTTAATGATTTGTATGTATATAATAGTCATCATATTGCCTAAGCCAGGATGTTCCCCTTTCTTAGATGAATTTGGAATTTCTAATGGTACACCTTTATCCAACTATTTCTATTGGCATTACATTTGATTTAAAAAATACGGTTTTGCTAAGAATATAGATGAGAGAATGAGCAATAAGAAAGCAATACTATCACTTCGCAGATGTTCCTACCTCTAAATCACACTACATTCCCCCCACCCCCAGCTAAATCAGAATACAACCAAAACTGCAGAGCTGTTCAGGGGGAGGCAGGATTAGGATTCATTAAGCTTGCCCTGGTCTGTGGAGCTTCACTTGCATCTCCACAGAGTAGTGCATTAGGAGAGGTGTGGACCTGCTAGTGAATCAATGACTATATAGTTGCATTAGCTGAATCCAGCTGTGATACTGGCAGTACAGATTTTAAACAGTGAAGCTGTTCTAAGTAAATGGAGAAAAAAATCATGTCTGCTTCATCCCATTGCCTTCTTTTTGAGATTTCACATTCGGTCTGAAAGTTCAGAACATTTCAGAAAAATCAATCAGTGATGATACAGTTCTGGCAGCAGTACTGAAACAGACAGGACTATTTCATGATAGACAGGTAAAGATAACATTCTACAGCTAGACTATATAGAACTGAAAGTGAACTAAGCCCCTTAGAGACCATAAAGCAACAAGGAATCTGCTTTGAAGAATGTATAATTTAAATACAAAATAGAGGAAATGCACACAATCAGGCTGCAACAACAAACAAAGAAAAATCTCTGTAAGTCAGTTATTATGGGCATAAAAATATGTACTATTTAGAGCTCTGAGTGCTGCAATTACTAGTTACTATCATATACTAATAGGTAGGCAACTCTTATCCCTTGACTGTTTCCTGATCTGGGTGGTATTTAGTAACACTTTCATTTCTAGTAAGAGAGATACTGGTTAATCTGATGTTTTATTCCCATCCCTTATTGTCTAATTGCAAATTCATGTCATTCACTAAACATGCTTTTAAAATGCTACTTTTTCTAAAATATAAACAAACACATGCTAGAAGCCAAGCTGTTCAAAACAAAGCAGTGCACACAGCGCTAGGGAAACACGTTTTGAGAGGGAAAGAAATTTTCGTTTTAAAGCTTTCATGGCATTATTGTAACTGATAGAAAACTTATTTCTGAAATGGGTAAAAATACCTAAACATTTCCTTTTACGGAAGGATTAGTTTAGCAGGACCTCTGAATTCAAATGCTGCCATTCCTCTTAGCCCTACTATTTAACAAAATTCTAAAAACAGTATTTAAAGTATTAGACAGCAGCTGCAAAAAATAACTGCAACATTAGGTAATTACACTAGCTGAAGACTGTCATGGTTCTGTTCATCAGATCAGTTTCACAATCTATTTAAAAGAAATCCTAAGGGATGTGCCACCGGGCTCCAAATGCAGCATCTGTGCCCCAACCTACAAGGTTGAAGTAATATTATTATAGTAATTGGGCCATGCATACAAGTTGGGTGCCATGCTAATTAAAGCCAATGCTGCATCCAACAGAGCTTGATGACAGGAAGAAAATACAACCAATGGTAGCTGGGAAGTTCTCTCCATCCATTTTAAGTTGATTATTGATCTAGAAATTGTGAACCAATGTTTGTGCATCTTGGCACACTGCCAATGACGTAGACTGCTCAACAAATATCTGCAATGGCAAGAGAATTAACAGTGACACACTATTCTGAGGATGGGAAGGGAAGAAAATTTTCACCAAACCCAGGCTTTCATCTTTACTGATGTACCATTGGGGTGTCTGAATTCTGAAGACAATAGTAAAATGGCTCTCTCAGAAGACTCCAGAGACTCTTATTAGTGTCTCTCGACATGCAAAAGGGCCTTGAAATGGTAATTCTAGTCGATATAGTTTTTTAAGTTTGGATCATAACTTCCTTGTTGTAGCCACAAAGCAACTTGCTCACAGTACATAATTTGCAATGTTTGAGAACTGCAATCTTATGTTACTGCTGGAATAGATTCAGTTACCGGCACAGCCTTCCCCATTAGATACTTGCCACTAAGTAAAGGTCTGTTGAGTGTATACAGAGTTGGTAGATCTTCTATCTCTGCTATCCGCTGGTATACTGCTCTGGATAGATGGTCCCCATGATATAAACTCCCCAAGATGATGCTAGAGAAGTAAATTGGCTCCACAAAGAGGCTAAGTAAGGCTCCTTGAATACCCAACACGTTCCACCTAAGGGGAAGGAAAACAAAAAAAACTTTCTTTTTAATGGAACAAGTAATCTCTACCAGAAACAAAAGCAGTCAATTCTCAATGGACTAGACTTTAAGTCCTCACTACTGACCAGAGCCTGACCATGTTGTGGTGAGACTTTGTAGCCTGCCAGCATCTTACACCCTACCTTTATACTGTGCCTGTAGTGTCCGAATGGAATCCTGAGCAAGAAGCCCTAAATCAGCAGGTGCTGCATATTTGTTATCTGGAACCTGAACCCAAATCTCAGGGACAGAGTCCATAACTCTGCTTCTTTGCTGTGACATGTGGTAGTGTTTCTCTTGTTTGTAATGATGGCTGAATGTCTCCAGACAGTCAGTAAGGAAGTCCCCTTTTCCCAGAATGTAAGATACAGGAGGGAGAGGACTCATTTCCAGGATTCTCTGCCTCATGAGAAGGGAAAATTCTGATCCTCCTCCTTTCCTGCCACAAAAAGCTATTTGCAACCATGTTGCACAAGGTAGAAAGGTGACCAGATATGCTGAAGGATTCTCTAACAAGATCCTGATCATACATTCTTTGCCTTTTAAGCAACCTCACACTGTTTGTAGTAACCCCGCTTACACCATTTTGTCCAAGAGCAGAACAGATCAGGTGGTACAGAAACAGTATGTGCAAAAGCAAAGTTTCTCCTTCTATGTTCAAAATGACAGAAGTTTGGCTTGGGGTATAGATGACAGCCAAGCATACTGAAGAAGCAAGGTTTACTTGGTAATATCTTTTACTGTACAGTTGCAAGAAATGTTAATTAGTTTTCAGGTACACAGGGTCCTTCATCAAGGCACTCTGCAAAGCTATTGACAGAGATGTTAGACAAGCCCCACAGCTTGTAACTTCTCTCCCATTTATACAGCTAGTCTAATAAAAGATAATACCAAAAAACCTTGCTGATTGCTGTTTCCTGGATTATCCTGGCTACAACAACATTCCTACATTAATGAAACATATGAAAAATGTATGCAAGTCTAAAACTCCATTGTGGGGTATCTGAATTGGTCTCTTTTCAACAATATACATGCAGAACAGCGCTGGAAAATTAAGAAAGCATATTTGACTATAGCTGCTATGGTTATGGGCAACCTTGAGCATGGGAGCATAAACAGGGGAAGGCACAAGGTTTCTCCTGGTGCCCCTTTCATAGGACTTAGCTACACCTGCAATCCTAGTGATTGTCTGAGTATAGGGCCTTTGAAAACAGGCCAGCATTAAATTGCAGCTATACAGAATAGACACACACCTAAGGAAGCTTTGGAAGGCCTCAAGCCTTGGTGACACACAGTGCTTCCAGACTTTTCATCTGGGATTCATACTACCCTCAACACAGGCCAGAATCTAAGGTATAACTGAACCACTTGCTGAAAAGCTTGGAAAAAATAATATATTAATACTGTATAGGAAACCTGTAAAATTACAAATAAAAAAAAAAAAGAGCTCAAGAAAACAATTTACTTACACACACATCCGATAATGAGGATGCAAATGAAAATACCATATATTAGCTTACTTATCCATCATTAAAAGTAGTGTTCCAAGTTGTTGGGAGAGGAGAATTTTGCATTAGTGCAAAATATTGTAAGGGAATTATTATAACTTATTTTCTATATTATTAAACTTAAGGAATGTTTTATATGACATTGACATTACAACTTCCAGCCAAACAATGGAAAATCAGATTAAAGGTATCATAAGAAAATCATACCTATTTAACTAGTTTTAAGCCTAAACAATATTTATAATAAAATAGGCTACATGAGAGTTTGACACAATCTTACCACAAGTAAAATATTGTCAATATAATAATCAGGTATCTGCCAAATAACTCTGAATGTCATTTCTTCATTACTTAGTGTTACTTCTCCAAAGCATACAAAAGTGTAGGGAATACTGCAAGACAGAGGCCACATTATTTGAGGAAAAAGATAAGGAATTGGAAGCAAACACTGTAAAATGTGCAATTATAATTGAACCCCAAATCTGCACATAGACAAATTAATGGTCACTTCTGCAGCTTAAGGGTAATTTCTGTAGGTTTGGCCTGTTAGGCTGTAAAAAGACAAATCTCATTTGTTGTGGTCCTGATTGACCTGAGTCAAAATCCACAGCAAAAGAGGAGCAGCACAGCTGTTTACACATGCTGCCCTGCTGTTCCTTTGCAAGAAGGTGACCAGGGAGAGTACAGCCTGACAGGCTCGTTTCTGGAAATGACTGGCAATTAACTTAAATGAGTTGCGATTACCTCACAGAAGGAACACTGTTTCACAGGTCAAACGGGACAATGGACTCCATAGGTGCATCCCCATGAGTGGAAATGTGTGCTTCCCCAGGGACAAACAGCAGCGGCACAATGTGTGCCACTGCTACTTGTCCCTGGGGAACGCCTGTGCCACACACCCTCTGGCATGTGGCACATTGCCCCCAGTGGGGTAGGGGGCTGGGCTGGCCCTAGCAGCCTTACCTGGCAGCCAGAGTGTGGTTCTGGCCAGCTAGGTGCCAGTTTTGGGCAGTGTGCATGGCCCCACTTTTTTTTTTTTTTTTTTTTT